TATTTTCCGTATAAAAATTCGTAATTTCAAACTGCAAATATGTGAATAGAGCCAGAATTGGGCTCAAAATTATGGCTCAAGAGTCGAATTTGGGATGTTTGTGATATTTTGAAAACTTCCGGGGGAAGGGGGGGAAGGTTTAGGCAAAATATGACCCATCGCTGATCTCAGTAATAGGCATATATTCGGTATAAAAAGTCGTAATTTAAACTGCCAATACGTGCAGAGAGCGAGAATTTAGCTCCAAAATATTGCTCAAGCGTCAAATTTGGGATGTTTGGGTCATTTTGAGAACTGCAGGGAGGGTTGGGCAAAATGTGACTCATCGCTGCATTCAGTAATTCGCCTATTTTCGGTATAAAAATTCGTAATTTCAAACTGCGAATACATGCAGAGAGCCATAATTTGGCTCCAAAATATGCCTCAAGGTTCGAATTTGAGATGTTTGGGATATTTTGAAAACTGCAGGGAGGGTTTGTGCAAAATGTGATCCATCGCCGCTTTCAGTAACTGGAATGTTTTCCGTATAAAATGTCGTAATTTCATACAGTGAATACGTGCAGAGAGCCAGAATCAGGCTCCAAAATATGGCTCAAGCGTTGAATTTGGGATGTTTGGAATATTTTGACAACTGCAGGGGGGGCTTGTGCAAAATGTGATCCATCGCTGCTCTCAGAAATTTGAATATTTTCCGTATAAAAAGTCGTAATTTTAAACAGCGAATACGTGTAGAGAGCCAGAATTTGGCTCCAAAATATGGCTCAAGCGTCAAATTTGGGATGTTTAGGATATTTTATAAACTGCAGGGAGGGTTTGGGCAAAATGTGATCCATCGCTGCTTTCAGTAATTGCCATATTTTCTGTATAAAAACTCGTAATTTCAAATTGCGAAATAAGTGCAGAGAGCCAGAATATGGCTCCAAAATATGGCTCAAGCGTCGAATTTCGGATGTTTGGGATATTTTGAAAACTGCAGGGAGGGTTTGGGCGAAATGTGATCCTTCGCCGCTTTCAGTAATTGGCATATTTTCGGTATAAAAAGTCGTAATTTCAAACTGCGAATACGTGCAGAGAGCCAGAATTTTGCTCCAAAATATTTCTCAAGTGTCGAATTTGGGATGTTCGGGGATATTTTGAAAATTGCATGGGGAGTTTGGGCCAAATGTGACCCATCGCCGCTTTCAGTACTTGGCATATTTTCGGTATAAAAAGTCGTAATTTCACACTGCGAATACGAGCTGAGAGCCAGAATTTGGCTCCAAAATATAGCTCAAGCGTCGAATTTGGGATGTTTCTGATATTTTCAAAACAGCAGGGTGGGTTCAGGCAAAATGTGATCCATCGCCGCTCTCAGTATTTGGCATATTTTCGGTATAAAGTTCGTAATTTCAAACTGCGAATACTTGCACAGAGCTAGAATTTGGCTCCAAAATATGGCTCAAGCGTCGAATTTGGAGTGTTAGGAATATTTTGAAAACAGCAGGGTGGGTTTAGGCAAAATGTGACTCATCGCCGCTCTCAGTAATTGGCTTATTTACGGTATAAAATGTCGTAATTTCAAACGGCGAATACGTGCAGAGAGTCAGAATTTACCTCCAAAATATGGCTCAAGGGTCAAATTTGGGATGTTTGGAATATTTTAAAAACTGCAGGGAGGGTTTGTGCAAAATGTGATCCATCGCCGCTTTCAGTAATTCGCATATTTTCGGTATAAAAATTCGTAATTTCAAACTGCGAATACGTGCAGAGAGCCAGAATTTGGCTCCAAAATATAGCTCAAGCGCTGAATTTGGGATTTTTGGGATATTTTAAAAACTGCAGGGTGGGTTTGGGCTAAATGTGATCCTTCGTCGCTCTCAGTAATTGGCATATTTTCGGTGTAAAGTTCGTAATTTGAAACTGCAAATAGGTACACAGAGCAAGAAATTGGCTCCAAAATATGGCGCAAGCGTCGAATTTGGAGTGTTTGGGATATTTTGAAAACTGCAGGGCGGGATTAGGCAAAATGTGATTCATCGCCGCTCTCAGTAATTAGCATATTTTCGGTTTAAAAAATCGTAATTTCAAATGGCGAATACGTGCAGAGAGCCAGAATTTGCCTCCAAAATGTGGCTCAAGCGTCGAATTTGGGATGTTTGGAATATTTTAAAAGTTGCAGGGAGGGTTTGGGCAAAATGTGATCCATTGCCGCTTTCAATAATTGGCATATTTTCTGTACAAATATTCGTAATTTCAAACTGCGAATACGTGCAGAGAGCCAGAATTTGGCTCCAAAATATGGTTCAAATGTCGAATTTGGGATATTTCTGATATTTTGAAAACTGCAGGGGGAATTTGGGCAAAACGTAAACCATCTCGGCTCCCAGTAATTGGCATATATTCGGTGTAAAAAGTCTTAGTTTCAAACTGCGAATACGTGCAGAGAGCGAGAATTTGGCTCCAAAATATTGCTAAAGCGTCGAATTTGGGATGTTTTGGATATTTTGAAAATTGCAGGGAGGGATGGGCAAAATGTGACTCATCGCTGCATTCAGTAATTCGCCTATTTTCGGTATAAAAATTCGTAATTTCAAACTGCGAAAACGTGCAGAGAGCCAGAATTTGGCTCTAAGATAGGGCTCAAGGGTTAAATTTGGGATGTTTGGAATTTTTTGAAATCTGCAGGGGGGTTTGGGCAAAATGTGACGCATCGCCGCTCTCGGTAATTTCCATATTTTCGGTATAAAAATTCGTAATTTCAAACAGCGAATACGTGCAGAGAGCCAGAATTTGGCTCCATATATGGTTCAAGTGTCGAATTTGGGATGTTCCTGATATTTTGAAAACTGCATATTGGTAACATTTTGCCCAAACCTCCGTGCAGTTTTCAAATTATCCCAAACATCCCAAATACGACCCTTGAGCCATATTTTGGAGGCAAATTCTGGCTCTCTGCACGTATTCGCCGTTTGAAATAACGACTTTTTATACCGAAAATATGCCAATTACTGAGAGCAGCGATGGGTCACATTTTGCCTAAACCCACCCTGCAGTTTTCAATATATCCCAAATACTCCAAATTCGACGCTTGAGCCATATTTTGATGCCAAATTCTGGCTCTCTGCACGTATTCGCAGTTTGAAATTACGAACTTTATACCGAAAATATGCCAATTACTGAGAGCGGCCATGGGTCACATTTTGCCCAAACCCACCCTGCAGTTTTGAAAATATCCCAAACATCTCAAAATCGACGCTTGAGCCATATTTTGGAGCAAAAATCTGGTTCTCAGCACGTATTCGCAGTTCGAAATTACGACTTTTTATACCGAAAATATGCCAATTACTAAGAGCGGCGATGAGTCACATTTTGCCCAAACCCCCCTGCAGTTTTTAAAATATCCCAAACATCCCAAATTCGACCTTTGAGCCATATTTGAAGAGATTTGCTTAGGTTTTTTAATTACTGGTAGGTTGATGGTATTTGTATGCAATTTGTGCGAGATCAATAGCATCCCAACATTTCCATTTTGGAGAAACACTCCATTTGTTATTAGTTGACTAAATAGTTGCTATAAGCAGTATCGTTAATGGAGAAATGGCTGGTAAGTGTGAGTAAACTTCATTATGCAGTTTTAGGTTAGTTTGGGTTACAGGTTAGGTTAGGTTTTAGGTGACGTTGTTCAGGTTTGATTAGGTGACAGGTTGATGATTAAATGACACACACACAACCCTGTGAGTGTGTGTGTGTGTGTGTGTGTGTGTGTGTGTGTGTGTGTGTGTGTGTGTGTGTGTGTGTGTGTGTGTGTGTGTGTGTGTGTGTGTGTGTGTGTGTGTGTGTGTGTGTGTGTGTGTGTGTGTGTGTGTGTGTGTGTGTGTGTGTGTGTGTGTGTGTGTGTGTGTGTGTGTGTGTGTGTGTGTGTGTGTGTGTGTGTGTGTGTGTGTGTGTGTGTGTGTGTGTGTGTGTGTGTGTGTGTGTGTGTGTGTGTGTGTGTGTGTGTGTGTGTGTGTGTGTGTGTGTGTGTGTGTGTGTGTGTGTGTGTGTGTGTGTGTGTGTGTGTGTGTGCGTGTGTGTGTGTGTGTGTAAGAATGTCGCACATTGAAATGTGTACATGTGATTATAATAGTTTTTACCATCTGTGAAGAAAATGTCTGTAACCATTTGTTATTCCATTTTCTTTCTGCCTGCCTGCCTGATAAAACTTGTCCGCTCAATATTCTGTTGAATATCAATCTCCAGTGTTCACTTACCGTTAATTCATACAATATTAAACAAATGAAGTCATTAACAAATCTTTAACATTTTCAGCACCTACATTCTTTCTAACATGAATCACAGTAACTAATATACTCAACTCAGTCACAAACACTTTTCTTATTCCTTCCTAAGCACCTCACTATATATAACCTATCTCAAAAAATTAAGTTTAAATACCTAACTGCCAACCTCCATTCCCAACCCAGGATGACCCACGGTAGCTCCTCTGGACCCCCCTACCAACAACCTCCCCCCAACGGTGGCCGCCATATCCCTACCCCGACAGGAGCCGGTCAGCCGAGCGGACAGAACGCTGGACTTGTGATCCTGTGGTCCTGGGTTCGATCCCAGGCGCCGGCGAGAAACAATGGGCAGAGTTTCTTTCACCCTATGCCCCTGTTACCTAGCAGTAAAATAGGTACCTGGGTGGTAGTCAGCTGTCATGGGCTGCTTCCTGGGGGTGGAGGCCTGGTCGAGGACCGGGCCGCGGGGACACTAGAGCCCCGAAATCATCTCAAGATAACCATCTCAAAATAACCCCTATTCCACCCCCAGTTTTAACCCCCCCCCCCCCTCTCCTCCCCGTCAAACAGAGAAAATGGCGGCGACAACGCTATATTTACCCAGCCAAACCGCTCGCCTCATTTGGACATACAACAGTAAATATTAATTATTACACCCGTTTAAACATTCACATGTCAGTCAGTTAGCCTAAATTCTCCTCTATTCATTCATTCATGACACTGCTTCACTGGACTGCAACCTCATCGATTAACGCTGCCATTTATTTCTAACTGTCAACACAAACACAATTTCACATGTCAATCATTGCAATTGTTTATAAATAGACATTAACTAACCCAGCTTGCTCCGAGGTATAAATACAGGTGCCAAATTTTATTCAGAAGGCAACTCCAGCGTGGCCTAGTCGGATAGAACATGTTCCTAATCCGGATAGACCTGCGTTCGAGCCTGTCGCAACGGATGCAACTACAGGGCACAGATAGATTTCTGTGATGTCCTCTCCTGTAGGAGCATCAGTTTCGTTAGATTCTCTGGATACCCGAAGATTGATTGATTGATCCCTTAGAATGTGGGGAAGGGTTGAAATCCGGGGGCCCACGGACGAATACCTGGATCCACTGACCTCGGGCAGGTCTTTTAATTCACCTGGATTTCAGGTGGGGAGAAGGGAGGCAATTTGGGTCGACACAAATGGCTTCCTGGACCCAGAACTCCATGGATACACGTGTCCGTGTATCCTTGGATACATGTCCGTGTATCACAGACAAGCATAGATAGTCACACGGATTGATCACACGGATACATTTCCGTGTGATCCGTGAATCCGTGTGATACGGGATTCGAACCTAGGTGGGTGGGGATAAGGGAGGCAATTTGAGGGGACACAAATGGCTTCCTGGACCCCAGAACCCTATGGATAACCCTAAACATAATACGGTTACGAAATCCCAAAAGATAAGATACACGGACATACATAAGATACATGGAAATCCCTAAGATACACGGTTCGTGTCACAGGTGACAGGGGGACGGAAGGGAGGGAGGAAGAGAGGGAGGGAGGGAGGAAGGGAGAGGTGGAGTATAATTCAATTTCAATTATATATTTTATTAAGTTAATTAAACTTAAATAAGTAAATTAAACAATTTAAATTAATTTAACTCAATTTAATTGGAGTTAAAAATCTAGTTAAGATCTTAATTATGATCTTAAGTCTATGAGTTTAAATCTAGGGAGGGAAGGAGGGAGGTTTATTTTCTGTTGTTAGGTTAGCGTAGGTTACATTAGGTTTAACCAACCTAACCAACCTAAACTAACCTAAACTAACCTAATATAACCAACCTTTTTTAAAGTTCATAAACCTTTATAACTTATATATACATATATATATACATTTATAACATATATATTTATATGTAAACTATATAAAAGAAAATTATTTTAAAAAATAAACTATATTAAATAGAAGTTAAACTTGCTCCTTATATTGTTCCTTGTTCCTCCCTTTATAAACCTTTGGTTTTATAAATGGATTTATATGGATTTATAAATTTATAGGTTAAAAATAATATGGTCCATTAGTTTTAGGTTAATTTAGGTTACAGGTTAGGCTACAGGCTGACACCTAGGTGAGTACACATAAATGAATGACTTGTTCCTTCTCGTCTCACAATCGGGGATTCAAGGGTTCGAATCCCGGTCGGACAGGGTTGTAATTGTTGGTAGCGTTTCCTTTCACCCAATGCCTCTATTCACCTAGAAGTAAATAGTGAGTTACTTGCATCCTGGTGAGTGAGTTACTCACTAGTTGGACCTTATGGGGGTCCATAGTGTTATAATATAGTGTTATATTGTTATAACATAGTGTTATAACAGAGTGTTATAGGGGGAGTGTTATAAGCCTAACATATGTATATATAAACTGCTTGTTCCACGACTCAAGGATTTTACATGTGTTGAGTAAATGAAGCCTAAGAGAGCATATCTAAGACCTAAAATTTGGCCATTTTAGATTATTTTTACTTTTAAATTATTTGAATTTATGCTATGGCCATTTATGCTTAGAAGAGATTTTCTTAGGTTCTTTAATTACGGGTAGGTATCATCCCCCTTTTCCTTTAAGTGATTTAAACAAAATACCATCGAATTAGGCAATATTTTGCCGTTTTTCCACGTTTTTGTGAATTTTCAGTTTATTGTTAATAATTCATTATTATACGATAAAAAAGATGCAAACACGTAATTGATTAGAAATTAACATTAAATACTTCATTTTCAATCAACTATTTGTTTCTCGTTAAAAAACTGAGTAAGATATTGAAAAAGCGAGAAGTTCTGTTTTTATTGCATAGATCGAAGTTTCAGCTGGATTAGAGTGGTTTTACGTGTACATCTTCCATCGGTAATATAAACGGCAAATCAGGAACATTTTAGTCAATTCTAATGAAAACACATTGATTTTTATCATTTGTATTGGAAACAACATTTTTATATGTCTTTTCTAGGATCTAAATAATACGAAACCTCGCTTTATGATTTGAAGTTAAAATCCTCAAATATGGTAATAGTGCGATTTTGTTCACGTTTTTTATGTAGTGTGACTTCACGTGAATATATTCGTTTTTACCAATATTTCGATACTATTTCATGTAGTATCACGATATGTGATATGGCCTTTAAATATCAGAATTTCGCATAATATTGCATTTTAAGCAAGTTTTCTTGCATTTTGTTTCGTACTAAAAATCATCGAATTTAGCAATATTTTGACGTTTATCATCCCCTTTTCCTTTATGTGATTTAAATAAAATATCATCGAATTAGGCAATATTTTGCCGTTTTTCCACGTTTTTGTGAATTTTCAGTTTATTGTTATTAATTCATTATATATACGATAAAAATGATGCAAACACATAATTGATTAGAAATTAACAATAAATACTTCATTTTCAATCAACTATTTGTTTCTCGTTAAAATACTGAGTAAGATATTGAAAAGGGGAGAAGTTCGGTTTTTATTGCATATATCGACGTTTCAGCCGGATTAGAGCGGTTTTACTTGTACATCTTCCATCGGTAATATGAACGGAAAATCAGGAACATTTTAGTCAATTCTAATGAAAAACACATTGATTTTTATCAATTGTATTGGAAACAACATTTTTATATGTCTTATCTAGGATCTAAATAATACGAAACCTCGCTTTATGATTTGAAGTTAAAATCCACAAGTATGGTAATAGAGCGATTTTGTTCACGTTTTTTATGTAGTGTGACTTCACGTCAATATATTTGTTTTTACCAATATTTTGATACTATTTTATGTAGTATCCCTCTATTGAGCCTCTGCATCACTCTCTTGAGCCTCTGCATCACCCTCTTAAGCCTCTGCATCCCTCTTTTGAGCCTCTGCATCACTTTCTTAAGCTTCTGCATCCCTTTCATGAGCCTTTGCATCTCTCTCCTGAACTCCTGCATCCCTCTTATGAGCCTCTGCATCCCTCTCTTGAGCCTCTGCATCACTCTCTTCAGCCTCTGCATCCCTCTCTTGAGCCTCTGCATCACTCTTTTAAGCCTCTGCATCCCTCTCTTGCGCATCTGCATCCCTCACTTGAGCCTCTGCATCCCTCTCTTATGCCATTGCATCCCTCTCTTCAGCCTCTGCATCCCTCTCTTGAGCCTCTGCATCCCTCTCTTAAGCCTCTGCATCACTCTCTTAAGCCTCTGCATCACTCTCGTAAGCCTCTGAATCACTCTGTTGAGCGTCTGCCTATCTCTCTTGAGCCTCTGCATCACTCTCTTCAGCCTCTGCATTTTTTTCTGCAGAAAGAAATTCTGTCTCTCTGCACGTATTCGCTGTTTGAAATTACAAATTTTTATGCTGAAAATATGCCAATAACTGAGAGTGGCGATGGGTTATATTCTGAGCAAGCAGTTTTCAAAATATCCTAAACATCCCAAATGCAACCCTTGAGCCATATTTTAGAGCCAAATTCTGGCTCTGTGCACGTATTCGCAGTTTGAAATTATGAATTTTTGTACCGAAAATATGCCAATTAATGACAGCGGCGATAAGTCACATTTTGCCTAAACCCTCCCCGGTAGTTTTCAAAGTATCCCAAACATCCCAATTTCGGCGCTTGAGCCCTATGTAGGACCCAAATTCTGACTCTCTGCACGTATTCGCAGTTTGAAATTTCGTTTTTTTATACCGAAAATATGCCAATTACTGAGAGCAGCGATCGGTCACATTTTGCCCAAACCCCCGTTCAGTTTTCAACATATCCCAAACATCCCAAATTCGAGCCTTGAGCCATATTTTGGAGCCAAATTTTCCCTCTATCTCCGTATTCGCAGTTTGAAATTTCGATATTTATACCAAAAATATGCCAATGACAGAAAGTAGCTATGGATCACATTTTGCCCAAACCCTCCCAGAAGTTTTCAAAATATCCCAAACATCCTTAATTCGACGCTTGAGCCATATTTTAGAGCAAAATTCAGCCTCTCTGCACGTATTCACCGTTTGAAATTACCAATTTTTATACAGAAAATGTGCAAATTACTGAGAGCAGCGACGGATCACATTTTGAGCAAACCCTCCCTGCAGTTTTCAAAATATCCCAAACATCCAAACTCGACGCTGGAGCCACAATTTGGAACACATTATGGCTCTCTGCACGTATTCGCCGTTTGAAATTACGACTTTTTATACCAAAAATATGTCAAATACTGAGAGCTGCGATGGGTCAATTTTTGCCGAAACCCTCCCCGGCAGTTTTCAAAATATCCCAAACATCGTAAATTCGAACCTTGAGCCATATTTAGAGCCAAATCCAGGCTCTCTGCACGTATTCGCAGTTTGAAATTACGAATTTTATACCGAATATATTCCAATTACTGGGAGCAGCAATGGGTCATATTTTGCCCAAACCCCACCCTGCAGTTTTCAAAATATCCCAAACATCTCAAATTCGACCCTTGAGGCATATTTTGGAGCAAAATTCTGTCTCTCTGCACGTATTCTCTGTTTGAAATTTCGTTTTTTTATACCGAAAATATGCCAATTACTGAGAGCAGCGAATGGTCACATTTTGCCCAAACCCCCGTTCAGTTTTCAAAATATCCCAAACATCCAAATTCGACCCTTGAGCAATATTTTGGAGCCAAATTCTCGATCTCGGCACGTATTCGCAGTTTGAAAATACGACTTTTTATACCGAAAATATGCCAATTAATGACAGCGGCGATAATTCACATTTTGCCCAAACA